AGCAGCAGTAACAGCAGCAGTAACAGTAACAGTAACAGCAGCAGCGTCAGCGTCTCTTCACTTCTGTCCAGGTTCATCCTCACACTTCAAACAGGAGAATCTCTTCACTCTGTTCCATGTTCAGAGATTCTGAAGGAATCCAGAGGGGGCGCACAAACACACACACACACCCACACCCATTCCCACACACACACACACCCACATTCCCACACACACACACACTCCCACACACACACACAGATGTCGTTATGTAGCAGCAGTAACAGCGGCAGTAACAGCAGCAGAGTCAGCGTCTCTTCACTTCTGTCCAGGGTCATCCTCACACTTCAAGCAGGAGAATCTCTTCACTCTGTTCCATGTTCAGAGATTCTGAAGGAGTCCAGAGGTGGCGCACAAACACACACACACCCACACATTCCCACACACACACACAGATGTCGTTATGTAGCAGCAGTAACAGCAACAGGAACAGCAGCAGTAACAGTAACAGCAGCAACAGCAGCAGCAACAGTAACAGCAGCGTCAGCGTCCCTTCACTTCTGTCCAGGTTCATCCTCCCACTTCAAACAGGAGAATCTCTTCACTCTGTTCCATGTTCAGAGATTCTGAAGGCATCCAGAGGTGGCGCACAAACAAACACACACACACCCACACATTCCCACACACACACACACAGACTGAGCGTGTGCAGAGCTGGCGCGGCGACTCATTACCTCTCTCTGTCGTTGAAGGAGGAGGAGGTGCTGTGCAGTGTCTGTCGGCTGTCCTCTGAAGTCAGGGAGCGAGGCAGAGCCAGTGTGGGGGGGGGGGCCGCGCCACGAGACAGCGGGGGTGGATGCTGGGAACAGCTGCGATCGTAACTGTGAGAGAAAATGGAGTTCAGTGGAGGTAAGGAGCAGAAGAGAGGGGGAGGGTGGAGGTGAGGGCAGGGGGACGCAGGTTGAAACAGAGATGTTCAACAACCAAGGGGTCTGCAGTGACCCCCAGTGACCCCTGACCTCCACCGGCTCACTGCCTCCCCCTGTCAGACACACTGGGACTTGACTCTGACTCAGGTCCTTGGACTCGTTTGTTTCCTCTGTGAATAAAAGTCTTTTCTTCTGCGGCTCTGACTGGAGAGACAGACTTTTCTTCTTTTCTTCTTTTCTTCTTTTAGGAGGCTGACTCTGGTGAACAGCCGTGAACTTGACTCAACATGACCTGAACCTGACTCGTTCCTACTGCGACTTGAACTCCACGTCCTGGGAACTGGACTAAGACTCAGCCCAAACTTCTTCTGTGACTCACAGTCTGACTCCAAACTCTGAGGGATTCACTTCCCTCTTCGTCTCTGAAACCAACCCTGAGGATTCAACAAGAACGATCATTTGGTGACTTGAGCCAAGTCTTAGATTGAAGCAGTAAATAGTCGACCTTAAACTGTGGGAGGGAATCGAACTACAGCACAGAAATAAGAACAGAAGTCCGAGGAAGAATAGGAGATAACAGTAAAAGGGTGAGGAGGGGAGGAGGGGAGAAGACACAGAGAGACAGACGGAGCGGTGGAGACGGAGAAACGGCCATTTAGCATCAGCGAACACATTACGCTGCTGCTGTGAGAGAGAATTAGTGCACGCGTCGGCCTCATTATAGGGCTGTCAGAGAAGAACGGGAGGCAGAGCGGGAAACAGGAGGGGGGAGAGGTGGGGGAGTGGGAGTGGGGAGTGGGAGGGGTAAGATGCAAAAGATGTGAAAAGACATGAAATGGACAGTAGGGGGGGACGAGCCATTACATCAGTCTGTGAGTTATGTTGATGATGTCATTGAGGAACCTGAAGATGTTGTTGTTGTTGTTGTTGTTGTTGTTGTTGCTGTTGTTGTTGTTGTTGCTGTTGTTGTTGTTGTTGTTGTTGTTGTTTCACTCGTCACTGGCCTTAGTGACTCCTGTCCTCTGATCAACTCAAGACTCGTGACTCGACTGTGAGACATGAACTGAGGTCTCAGAGTTGAACTCAAAAACCCTAGTGGTTCCTTTTTTTTTCTTCTTTTTTTTCAGTCAATGTTACCATGACTTGATTTTCCCTCAGTGACTTGGACTCGACTCTCGACTCTATTTTCTAATCCAGAAGCTTTAATTCAAACCATTGTCTTCTTCAGACAAATCCATTGGAACTAGCGTCTTTTACGTCTCTGACTGAATGGTCTTCACGTGACACTGACCCACTTCTAAACTACCAAGACTTGACTCAGGCGCCCCCTACCTTGATGCAGAGTTACTTCAGATCTTCCAGACTTGATTAAGACTCTAACTTTCCAGGTTAAACCTGAAACCCTGGAGACTCAGCCAGGACTAGAACCTCTTTTGTGACTTGGGCTCAGACTCCAGACTCAATCTTCTCCCCTTCATCCTGACTTTAAACCTCAGGACTGGATTTTTCTTCTTCTTCTTCTTCTTCTGTGACTAAAACTCTGCCTTCAAACCTTCAGATTTCACCTTCGACTTTAACGTCTTTAAGATTCTGGCTCTTACTTGTTCACTGTGGTCTGAACGTGAACATGATGAAACGTTTTCTTTGGAGACCAGGACTTTTTCACACACACACACACACACACACACACACAGTCGGTCCCTCAACACCAGCCACGGTGGTGATCTGAGGTCTGGGAGAATCACTGAGCACAGATGCTGCTCCTTTCTTCTCATAACCATCTGGACAATCACCCATTTCCACTACAGGCTTTTATTCTGTCCATTTGCCCCCCCACCTCCCTCAATCCTCCCCCCCATTCACTCTATTACAGTTTCTAATATCTAACTCTCTCACAATGGCTGTGTGAAAAGGAAGTTACAGGAGGAGGAGGAGGAGGAGGAGGAAGAGGAGGAGGAGGGTGGGAACGCCGTGTGTTTATCACGTTGAGCTCAGAGCAGAGCTGGAGGTCTATCTGTGGATCTGGGCTGGACTGGGACGAACGGTGGTGAGGGAGATAAGAGGAGCAACAACAACAACAACAACAACAACAACAACAACAACAACAACAACAACAACAACAACAACAACAACTAACACCAGGAAGGAAAAGAAGAAGAAGAAAAAAAACAGTGAGGCAACAAGAAGAGCGGGTGGGGGAGTGAGGGTGAGGGGGGTGGAGTGAACAGGTTGATATAAAGAGAGACGACGAGCAGAGACACGGAGCTGCAGGAATGAGAAAATTTGATGCAACAGAATGTGGGCTGATGTGAGCGTTTTATTGTGGAATAAAAGTATAAAGGGTGAGGAAAACAAAGAGTGATAACTGGGTGGGTGAGGAGGGGGAGGGGGGTGAGGGGGAGGGGGAGGAGGGAGGAGGGAGGAGGGAGTCCCAGAGGTTAAATAAAGCAGGTGTTATTGGTTTGATCAGTAAAGCGTGGAAGGGCTTCGCTGCATCACAGCCACGACTTCCCATTTACAGCTAATAGCCATGTGTGCAACGCGCACTTCCCACCGCCCACCACCAGGCCTGGGAACGTTAGACGGCGTGTTCACGTGCTGTGAGAGGCTGTTACCGCTCACGGTCATCAGTGTAACGTGTTACTGTTGTTGTTGTTGTTGTTGTGTACGATGTCCTGAGGGTGGCAGTAAATGGTCTTTATCGTTGACAGTCTCACGGCTGTCAATCACACATCTGGGCCAATGGTGACTTTCAACAACACCCGCCTCATTAATGAGCAGTGACTCCGCCCTCACCTCAGGGGCACTGCAGTCACCGAGAGCCAATCAGATCATCACACAGGCATCAAACATGCATGGTACAATACGTCAGTCAAAAAGTTCTGAGACAGTGGTTTTCAAATGTAAGGGGCGCGTGTCCCTGTAGGGACGGCACCCATCCTTCAAGGATGACCTTTGACATCAGGTCACAACCTGCTTCTCTGACTGGTCTAAGGACCTAAAATCCACTTCCTTTCACATTTTCTTTCAATTTCAGGGAAAATAAAAACCTGTTTTTCTCCCCACTGTTGCCACAGCACCACTGTGTGTGTGTGTGATCTATTTTGGATTTCTATGATAAATGTCAAACACATTCTAGTTTGTCTTGTTAATATAATTTTGACATAATAATGACTAGAAACACAGTCCTCTGTTCCAGATGTTAAATGTCAAAACAGTAAAGTCACTTCAGCCTAAATATGACTCGTATCTTTGGTTAAACAATTAAATTCGTTGACTTAAACCAGACATGAACAATAATACGGAACTTGTAACGAAAATGTTTAAATTAAAGTTAGTCATAAACAATCCTCCGTGGATTCAACGAACTATTACCGAAGACTTAACTAAACGAAACACAATCAGGAAGTTAATCTCTGGCAAAATGATGATGACACAGCGAGGTGGCGATAGCCAATCAGAGCTATGTGTCTTACCAAAGGGCGGGACATGTAAACGGAAATACAATCCTCGCGAACGTGTTTACGGCAGTAAGATACGCAGAGAGAGAGACAGCGTGAAACCAGGAGCGGGAAGAATGTTGTCAGTTTGGGACGAAGCGTCACCAGAACTTGTCCGCTACGACGGCTGTAGTTTATGGTTCCGTGTTACTTTGAACGACAACGAACACATTACGTCAACGTCAACTTTGTGGAACGAGGACGAGGAAAGAACGCGAGAGATTTGAGAGGTCACCTGTCGACGTCATCACGCAAAGGTAACGTTAATTTTCGTAACCTACGGACATGTTAATCAGTAGAACAATATTGTATGATTCTTAAAATACCTGTTGAATAAATAATATAAATAATAATGATGTTCAACGAAACATCGTTTTCATAGATTATTGTATAAGTTACGTAACATAAAATGTTACTTTGGATTTATGTCGATTATATTTTAAATTTAGTCGACAACAATATTTAAGGTATTTGGGCGACTTTAACTAAATTAAATGAAAACCGTTCTTTTTGAGTAAACTGGACAAAAACCGCTGCTAAAATTAACACTGATTATTATTAAAGAACTTATGTCTGTAGATAATAAACAGTTGGGCTTCAAAACAACAGGGTCTAAAAAAAAAAAAACAAACCCAGAATATTTCCTTGTATCCTACTTGTTTTCTCATTAGCCCTCAGGTCAGGGACGTTGTTCAGAATCATTCTACAGCTGAGCTCAAATCCCAGATTTAATTAGTGCATTCGAATTTATTCACAATCATAAAACGATTGTTTCACACAAACATAATTAGGTCCAGGGAGTTGTTCCAGGACAGACACCTGGTTCAGCTACTGTACAAACACACACTCAGATAAACAGGTGTCTTTGCTCCTACCAGAGTTTGGCTACGATGACGACCGCCGTCAGGATGAGGAGGGTGGAGATGGTCACGGTGACGTAGAACTGAGGGTCCACTGTAACACACACACACACACACACACAGATGTCGTCCTCAACCACACACTGTCACCATTAATTACTGCATCCAGAACAAGACAAAAGCGGTGACGTCAGCTGAAACATGACAATGGAGGACTCCGTGCCCCCCCCCTGGCCCCCGCCCCCCCCTGCTGCAGCACCAGTGGCATGACATCCACCCTTAATTTGCAGTTTGATGTCCACTTCCTTCCTGTGAACAGACATCTCTGGGCCCCACACTGCTCTGGGCTGACACCTCTCTCCCCGGGGGGGGGGGCTCCTGGCAGTGTCCCCCCCCCCAACCCTCCCACCTGCAGCTCACGACCAACTTGACTTAAACCCCTACAGCAGCAGCAGCAGCAGCCCCCTGAGGACGCCCACCTTCCTCAGGCTCTGTCCCCTCTGCCTCCGTCCCTCCACTCCTCACTCCCCCCTTCTTCCTGGACTCCACCGGAGTTTCTTCTCCCGGTCGCATGCTCCTGTCTAGGAAGGACCATTCCTCTGAGCCGGCGGTGTTGACCTCCTGGAGCTGGTTCCCGTGAGGGTGCAGAGGGTCTGTTTCCTGGCTGGAGAGGATGTGATAGGTCTCATCCTCCAGCGGCTGCGTGGGACCCCAGACCACCGCCCACAGCGGCGTAGGCGTGACCTGGGCCGTGACGGAAAGTTGGACGGACAGGGCGTCCACCTGGTCCTTGGCCTCCGCCTCGGCGTCAGGGTTACAGGTGGAGGGCTGGGGCACCAGAGCGATCAGCAGCAGGCACAGGAGGGGGGTCAGTGGTGTGACAAGAGAGATGGAGCTGCAAGGAAGATGGAGGTGAGAAGAAAAAGAAAAAAAAGAAGTGAGAAGTGATGAAGTGACAGAGAAGTTGTCTGAGAAAATATATTGTCCACAAGCGCCCCCACATGACCTCAGCGACTCAAGACATCGATTCAAACGCCAGCCATCACTCAAAAAGACATTTTATACATCTGCACCCGGACGTACTGTACCCAACGTCCCTCCTTCACCTCGGCATCTATCCATCTTACCATCTCTCCATCGCTTCGCTCGCTTCACTGAGACTCTGCTCCTCCGATCATCTCTCCCTGCCAGATAAGACAAGAGAGGGTGAGGAAAAGAGGGGAGGGGGGAGTGAGAGAGAGAGAGAGTGAGAGAGAGAGAGAGAGGAGGGTCCAGCCTTATTCCCTCTTCTATCTTCTCTGATGTGAGAAATCACAGAGAGCAACAACAGACAACTCTGTCACCGACTGGACAACCACCACAGTCTACGGACACTGTTCCACATCAACACGTAAAAACAGCCAGAAGTCCAAGGTCCACAGTCCACTGTCCACAGTCCACTGTCCACAGTCCACTGTCCACGGTCCACTGTCCACAGTCGTGGTCAGTTCCACTCTCTCACACACACACTCACACCTGAACGCGGCACATTAATCTTCATTAGAGACGTGGAGCGTGAAGACAGGAGTGAGAGACACTTTGAGACACTCAGAGACAGTCAACTTCCTCACTCCAACTACTGCAGAAATGTCACTCAAATGTCACTTCATGACACAAAAACACAACATGACGTTGCCGGAAGACGGACATAAACGGACACACACACACGCGCCGACACACACACACACACACTCAAACGCACCCTCCAGCACACATCAGTTATCATGCCTACCTCTGGCAGTGGAGAACGGGAATGAGAGAGGGTGGCGGGGAGAGAACGGGGAGATACTAAGAGCAAGGGAGGGGAAAAAGCATTGGTTGCCTTAGCGACTGAGACATGTAGAGTCTGCTAGAGTACAAGAGGGGAGAGAGAGCAGCACAGGGAGGGCAGGAGACTGACGGAGAGAGATTTAAATGCTAATTATCTGTGTGTTTTTCTAAAAAAAACAAAAAAAACAAACAGCTTCAATTAAAGAAATGCAGTGAGAAAGAGACGAGTGTGAGGTGAGAGACGGCCGTGAGACAGAGACAGACGCTAATAAGATCATGTTAGAAAAAAAAATTCAATTATGTTTAAGAGAAGAAAAAAAAACAGTGAGAAAGAAGAGAGGAGCAGAGACACCAGAGAGGGAGGATGGGGGAGGCAAAAGAAGGGCAATAAATAACCGGGGTATAAAGATTGGATTTACATTCATTTACACAGAGAGCGTTGGCAGCGTCAACACACGAAATATGGTCAGATTGGAATTCAATAAAAAAAACCACAGGAGATCCAAACGTGGGGCGCGGAGTCACAGTGTGACAACTTTATTATGAGTAGGCGTCATATTTACAGAGAAAAAACGTGCGCTCGCTTCTGCTTCCATATGCTCCCCCCAACACCTCACCCCCCCTCACCCCCCTCCCTCTCATTTCCTCTTCATGACTGCGGGCCGTGGTATCCTCCGCTCCTCACTGGAGAACGCAGCGCAACCAGGAAGTGGACCCACCGTCCTCCACGCCATCACACCGTCCGTCTGTGTCGTCACAGCTGTCGTCGTGGTCGTGGTCGTGGTCGTAACCTAAACGTGACCAGGAGGAGGGTTGGTGTCAACAACTAGTCATCAGAATTAAAAACCAGGTGTAGCTGTTGGACTTTGATCTGAAGACGTTCTCAACCACAAGAAAACGAAGAAGACACTGTTTATTTTCTCTGTTCTTCGTAGGCAAACATCTGGTTCGCAGCCCAACCAACGGCTGCACCTCACTTTGTAACAACTAAAATCCACCATCTCCACGAAGACAAATACTGAGTTAAAACTTTTGACCTTTAGTCAAAACACAAACCTCGAACTAATGTTTGTCTTTCAGCAAAATACAGACAAAAATAATTTAAAAAAAAACTGTTGTCATATTGGAGAATGTTGATTACAGTCATGATTAATTAGGACGTGTCCTTATATGTGTCTACAGGTGTGTGTGTGTTTGTACCGTCCGTCTCATCGTCGTCTTCTGTTTCTCCCTCTGATTCCAGACAGCAGTCCAGCCGACTGTCCCTCCTCACGGTGACGTCACCCCTGTAACATCCACCACCACAGTGACCGGGGTAAGTCATAAAGTTCCAGGACAGGTTTTTGTTTTTTTAAATGTGTCCAAGTTTAAAAACTAAAACCAGTTCAGACTGGTCTCCATATTTCCGAGGTCAGTTATTATTCGTTTATCTCCATGGACCTGTGATGGAATCAAGACCTTTCCAGGGTGTCACCCCCGGGTTCTGGAACGTTCCACATTTGCTCCTCTGTTCATTTTGTCTCATTAGGACAGACTTGCAAACTCACGCCCCCTGGGGGTTGTCAGCAACAGAATATTCTAAAGGTCACCAACTCCTGACATCTTTGATTGGTCACTGGGTCTGTGGGTGTCTGTCTGGTCCATGTGGTGTCCACACAAATACCACCTCAGTCCATTTGGACGTCAACCTTCCCAGGAGTTGTCACTGTCTTTTCTGAAGGTTTGAAGAATCTGGCGATACGATACGTATCACGACACAGTGGCAATGATACGATATATATTGCGATACCACAGGCAGGGCAATATATTGAGTTGTTTTTGGTTTTGTTTTTACCAATGTAACTGAAGTCAAATGTCTTGACTTGTTGACACCAACGTTCTGCATAAAATGTCTGACTTGTTGACACCAACGTTCTGCATACAACCCCCTTATTAATAAAATAGATTAATGAAATGAGCTGCAATGCTGCCATCTAGTGACTTTGACTTTCATATACGGCCGTTTATCCCCAAACTATTTTTAGGGCTCACGACGTTTGACAAACCCAGGCCTCGTGTTATTGGGTTTTCATCATTGGAGGAAAAAACCAGTAAAGATTCTTACAGATACAGACATAATTATGGTTGAAGAGTTCTGTTACATAATTATGCTAACATCGAGCCGATATTATCGTACATCCATTTAAAAAAATCCAAACAGTTCTGTAGAATATCGACACTGCCCCACACTTTGACCCACCTCTGCCTCCCAGAACTGGACAGCTGCTCCCACACGATGAGGCTGCGGCCCCCCGTTACCCAGCGGTGGTCCCCACTCCCTGTGGTCCACGTGGCAAAGCAGAGCATTCTGGGAGACTCAGGCCAGGTCAGAGAGGTCAGGTAGCGACACTGGGGTAAAGAGAACACTGGAGGGCAGGATGGAGGGGGAGATAAAGAGAACATCAGAGGGAAACGGAGTGGTTTGGACTTCAGTCCTGGTTGTGATGTCACTGCCAGAGTGAAGTAAAATGTCACAGTTTAGTTGATGACTCACAGTTGAGTGTGCTCTCCCCGTTTGTCAGATCGTAGCAGGAGCCAATTAGGAGGCCTCCTGTCTGGTGGACACAATCTGTTACTCCGGTGATGCTGCTGTGATTGGTCAGCCTGGATGTTGATCCTGTGATAATTAAACAGATGTTCCAGGGGAAGAGTGTGTGAATGTTCCGTCATCCCATATCAGGGTTCTAGATCTAGTCTCATCTGGGCGTTGATCCATATCCACATCAACAACAAACAGATCTGCAGAGATTAACAACAACAACAACAACAACAACAGCCGTGTTCTTTCTTCCATCCACTGTTTCCCCTGCAGACAAATGTGACTCACGTGGAACATGATCCAGGATTATACAGGAAAATCAAACGTGAAACTGCGTCCAGTTTTCAGTTCAGTATCGCAAAGAAACACGGACTCACAGTTTGAACACGTGGGACTGTGTACTTTAATAATTTGGTTAAAAAAATAAAAACTACAAAAGTGGATTATTCAAATGTAGCCCATATTTTTAACAGTTACACCAGTGGCTCCCAAGTTGGGGGGGAGGTACGGGGGGGGAGGG